GATAAATATTTATTATAGATTGATATATAATTAAACCAAATCTATGCATTAACTTCTTCTTCCAAACGACTTTTCAAACTAGATATTATATTACGCCGCTTAATTATCACATGCATCAAAGAGAGATTAGAACATGAATAACAGCTTTGTACTAATAATTGGACGATATGCTATATAAGTGTTGGTATGGTAGGTTTACCAAAGCATGACTTTAGTTAAATTTCCACAACTTTCCAGAAAGCCATATCTATAATTAATAGCTAAGGAATTTAAGGTCTTTGAAATTTCCATGAATTTCATTTAACCAATCAAAACTATGTAACATGACGTTGAATTACGAATGCTGTCAAATTGAGTGGAAGCTTCCTCAAGATTCCTCCAATTAATTAATAATTCCAAAAAAAAAAAAAAAAAAACTATCAAAACAGTAAGCAACCCGTCAATGTGTATGGAGTTTCCAGTGGTGTTCATGTTGACTAACTAACTAGTATTGAAGAATAATAATTAGTTGATTTATTATAATTAAGTGCATCTTTTTTTACGTTCACATTACAATAAACATTTGTCCTATATATCTTTTTTTGGGTAATTTGTTTATATATCTTTTCAATTTAAGTTTCAAATAACCTATAAATGGGAAAATTATAAAATAACTCATTTTTTGTCCAATTAAAAAAAAAAAAAAAAAAAAGCATGTTATGAAATAACCAATACAAACCGATAATTATCATGGATAGAGTCTTGAAAATTATTAATGTTATGTAGTGCGAATGGATTCGTGTGAAAAGGTTAGAAAATCTAAGTCAAAAAGAAGTCAACAAATACTTGACTAAACTAAGATTTTGAAGTCTTCGCGGCTGTTTTTACGCGAAGTTGGACAAGAACAATCCGTGTGAACCTCCGCATTACGCTGAAACGACTCTAGAACTTTTGGTTCTGCTCAAATTATTGGAGTAAACGTACGTGACATAGTAACATGTTGATTTTTTAAGACGTGTGTTTGACCAATAACGCATCTCACTCTCATGTTCATTATAAATTACCAATTTGAACGCAAATATGAATATAAGTTGAAGGTAGATAGATTCAACAAAAAAATCAGCAAAAATTATGTCATTTGGTTATAATACGCTGTAGCATTGCATAAATGTTTCATGTTATGGGTGACAAAAATGATACTTTCTACATAAAATAAAATAAATTGGCCGAGGATCCATTCCCCGGACCCGTCCCCAGCCTCCTCCCGGTCAACGGGGTCTTTGTGGGTATAAAAGATTTGGGCCATTTGCCCATTTGGGTTTCAACTTTTCCATCAGCCTGGCCTTATACGCACCTGGGCTATTATGGTAATCCAAGAATTTATGGGTGGACTCCTTTTGAATAAATAATACTCTTAGTCTTACATTGACTGCCAATTAAGTGAATTATAGGAATAAGTCAAAGCCCAACTCTTAACTTCCCATTTTCAGCCGCTCGTCTCAGGCCTCAACCTTGTGATATTGCCCGTATTGGTAATTTTTGAATTATGAGCAAACATCAAGCGTGTAGTGTAAATACAAACGATGAATTAATGTAAGTTTAATTAATTATTGTAATATTGAAAAAAATTTGATAAATTATATTAATTATAGTAGAACAACTTTGCCATGGATTTAGAAAAACTCTCACAATTTAATTCTTATTTATGAAATAAATTGAAGTTCGTTATGTATCAAATATATATGTGTTCTTTTCTACGCAATCTTATCAAACAATCATCCGCAAAATTAGAAAATGAGAGACATTTATACTCTCATTGTAAATAGATACCACTAATAATAAGTTAATAACTAATTAAATATATGTATATAAGTATACATTTGTTAAATCTTTATAAATTAACTACTTGAAGAAGGAGGAGGAACTTTATAATACAATGCAGAATTCTTTGAATATCACAAAAGTTCTTCTTCCTTCTACTAATTAATTGGTAATTTTAATTTACAACGATTTTTAATATCGATTTAAGTAAAATTGTTCTGTATAAAGTTCCTCTTACTTCTTCTAATTAATTTGTTTAGTTTGCTTCATTGATTAATTTCAATTATTTATATTAATATAAGATTTACACCTGACTAAAATTTTTAAGTAGGGCTATACATTACGCTATTATAATGGCATCTAATTAAAATGAGAATATAAAATTATAAATTGCTTCTTATTTTCTAATTTTGTAAATGATTTTGAAGATTGATTGATTGCATACAAAAGATCTTATATTTAATTTTTTTTTAATGAACTATATATATATATATATATATATATTATTATATATATATATATATATATAATATATATATATTATATATTATATATATATATAATATATATATATATATATATGGAGAGGCCAAGCCTACCTTCATCCCTGAGGTTGAGAATTTCCGTGGTCTTGGCTCCGTCCCGATCCTCGACTGTTTTAGGGAATCCCCACCTTGTTTGGGGCGGGTCCTCAATCAGGTGGGCCGAACGCCCATCTCTATCTACATGTAGCTCTACTCCTGCACATTGGCTTTCAGTTGATGTGGAAATCTAATTTTATCAAATATTTTCAACATATTCATTTATTGTTACCATCCTAGCTGTAGATTATTTGTTGTATATGTTAACAATTAATCTATTGGAATATTACAAACTTATGATGTATATTAATTAACACTATTACCTCTTATGTCAACCATCTATTTAATATGTATCAGAATACCCGTGCTTGATTAATCTTGTAAAAATATTATAAGTTTAACACTTTACATTACTCATGACTTCAACTACCACTACTCTTATATTCAATAATTTGTATTACAAATTAAACCATGTTATAAGTTTCATATATTATGCGGGATTGTTAGATCATTTGTTTTAATTTATTTAATTTAAATTATACTAAAATATATCAATTTGTATAAGTCAGATAGTAACAACTTTGTATAAGTTGATATTCTACTTTTTACAGGTATTATACATATGTTTATTCTATTACGTTTCACATTATTCTTAGATTTCAACCCCCACATTCCGCAATATTAATTGAATCCGCTCCAAGTCATTATAGATTCATAAATTTAATTGGTCTTCATAGAATTTCCCTTTTGATATGATCTTTCTAGTTCACACGCATGTCAAAATTAATGGTCAAGCTTTATTTTTCCTCATGGAATTGCCGCAAACTGTGTTATCTATTAGCCGAAAAAAGAAAAAAAAGTCTTTGGCAAACCTTTGAATTCACTTTCAGAAGTTCAATTAACGCGTTTTTTCATTGTCACCTTGCGGTTTGATGAGAAAAAAAGGTTTTCTCCACTTAATTAATTTAAAAAAGAAAAATGATACAGTTATCGAAAAAAATACACCGAATTTACGCATCAACAGACGTGGCACCATCTTAATCGTCCATTAATTATGAATTTTTTTTAAAGAAAAGAAAATGATGCCACGTATGTCGATGTGTGAATTTAGTGTATTTTTTTCGATAACTGTAACATTACTCATTCAAAAAAGTGACATCGTCATCCTTATATAGTGTTTTGGTTATGTAACTATGCAGAAAATAGAAAAGTTATTTTAAACAAATGGTTGGTAGTTTTAGCCAACCGGTTAGAATTTTGATCACATAGTTGGCCGTCGTTTGATTGTTCTAAATAAACAATTAATTGTTTCAAAAAAGAGTAATACTACACCACCAATCTTCTTTCACAAACTTTTTCTCACAACTTTGACGTGATAGCTCGCAATCGATCAGTTTACAATTAATTAGTAGGATTCATGTGAGACTCATTGTAAACTGACTAATTACAAACTGATATGTCAAGATTATGAGAGAAAGTTTGTGAGAAATGATTGTTAGTGTAGTATTATTCTTTGAAAAAAACGATTGATAGTTTTGATGTTGTTATATTTCTCATATATATAAAACTGGTTAACTGTTTGGTCAAAACGGTCAATTTTTTTTGTTCAAAATGTTTCTTTTATTCCTTATAACATTCATTTAATCGACAAAATCTCCGTTTTTATGTCAAACCTCATGGGTAGATATGAAATTAACCCTCCAATTAAGCTCTCAAGAACTTAATAAACTTTATATTATGCATCTCAACTCAATCACAGGGTATTAGTTTGAAAATTGATTTTGGGTTTTGAATGAAGATGATTTTTTGTCACTACTACTACTACTACGACTAATTTACAAATTTATTAGCAATAGACCAACGACGTGTCAAAATTTAATATGAAGTAGATTTTCTAATTCCTTCACGATGCAATTTTCCACAACTTGCTCTTGAATTTAGCACAAAACTTATAATTGACGGCAACATTCTAAAAGTTAATTACTTCTAAGCATCACCTTTTCAATTTTAATGGGTTCGTTTTTAACTGAACATTCAACAACCATCATCACATATGTCCAATAAAATTATTATGAAGAAAGCATAATGTTATATATATATATATATAGAACTTCATAATAATTGTACGTCTTTTATTTCAAGATTAATAAAAATTATGAAACGAGATTAATAAGATAAAGTTTTGGAACAAAGTCCATTGGGTTAAGACGCTAACCCTTATTATCTTCATATTTTCTGTTCAACTTTACCCAAATTATCTTATTTCCAGTAGCCGATCTTTCTATCTACTCATCTCTTTCAAATCAAGTTTGCAAATTGGTGTTAGAATTATTTATAATTCTTATAAAGTAGTCCATGTGAGTTAAATATAATATAAGGTTTAGTAATAATTAATTTAATTGAAGGGCATATTTGTCTTTAGCCTTTGATGGAAATGTGTAGTGTTTGCAGTTAATTAAATAACTGCAATATAAAAGGTGGGTCCTCTCTCTATTCTCAAATACGCTAAATTTTTTTTCTCTGTCCATCAAGAGAGTTTGCGATTACAGAAGAGAAAAAAGGGAGAGAAACGCTGCCTATTTTTTATTCAATCAAGATTCAAGTTTCAATTTTCATACTATGGAATCAGGTATGTATTTCTTTTATATATATGAGAAAGTTTATCAAGTTTCAAGATCCTGTAACTTTATATTTGTGCAACTTAGGGCATAGAAACACGAATTGATTATTGACTCTTTGCCTTTGATGAGTTTGCTTTTAAGTTTACATGTGGTATCAGAGCAATTTCAGGTTTAGAGACTGATGAATTTTCCATTAGGTTATTTTTTTAGGGTTCTTATGGGATGTAGAAATTAATTGGGTTTTTGGAAATTGTGAAATAGGAATGGTTTGGGTAAAATAGATTTAAGAAATTAGTTTGGGTTTAGAAATTAACAAATTGGAAGGCTGGAAAATTATTCTGAAGTGCAAATTTTCAGAATCCAGAAACTTTTTCAATAAAAATAAAAAATAAAGAAATTTGGAATATGAAATTTACCTAATTTTTCCAGAAATTCGGGTCAATCATTGACCCAACCTAATTATAAAAGTCTTATTAAGTGAGCCCAATTTTCAAATCCATTAAGAATAACCCACAAAGAAGCCCAAACCTATAACCCATAAAGAAGCCCAATCTTTTTTTTTGTCAAACGGGTCAACCCAAAGAGGTGTAAATGGGCTGACCCGAACCAAAAAAAATGGGTCGAAGAGACCCGATTTAGGGTCCGAAAAGGTGAACCGGATCGGTCAACGGGTTGAACCGGTTCAAACCGTTGACTGAACCGGTCAATGGTTAAAGTTAATGGTTAACCGTTAAAGTTAACGGTAACTGTTAAACTTAACGGTCAACCGTCAAAGTTAATGGTGATAATCAAAATTAATAATAAGGGTCGAATCAACCCAATTTTGTCCTTAATGTGCGTTTAGGCACGTGAAATGTGTATAAGTTTCTAAAGTATAACTTTCTTTAGAGAAAGAATTTGATAACTATATTATGTATAATTTGTTAGTCACCAAAGTGGCCAAATTAAAATGTTTATCCCATAGATATCAAACTAAACAAGGTTCAATTACTCATGATCATTAGATGCTTTAATGGGATGACATAATGTATTGGACATGAGTAATTTGAAGTTTATATGTTATAGGATAGTTAAGGATCGCCCAAAGTTAGATTAGTTAATCCTATAATTATGAACATAATCGTGGTTAATTAATGTACTTGATTAGGGTGTGTTTAGTATATTCGAAGATAACAAACATGTTTAACTAAAGTACATTTAATTACCAATTAAGAAAATTTATAAAAGATTACATCAATTAAGTTTAATTATCGTATATTGTTATATCTCCCAAATGAGATTTTCAATATATATTTATGTTTTAATAATAATAAATTTTAATATCTGAATCTAAAATTATGTATAAGGTATAAAACTCAAAGCATTAATGTGTAAGTATGATTTTTTGTTTTTGCAGCATTTGCTCTTCACGCCTCATCTGTTATTAAGTTTAATGGGTTCAATTATAATGAATGGAGTGAACAAGTCGAGTATTACTTGAGTGTTCAAAATCTCGACCTTGCACTCATGACAGAGAAACCAGCTGATCTCACTGAGAACATCACTGATGAAGAAAGGTCTTTCCATAAGGAATGGGAGAGATCGAATAGATTAAGCCTGAAATATTTACAGATGACAGTGGTGAGCGAAATCAAGATCTCACTTCCTACCACAGAATATGCTAGGGAATTTATGAGATTAGCCAAAGAGACTTCTCAGTCTGAGGCCGCTGACAAGTCCCGCACGGGGGCATTAATGAGTAGGCTGACCACCATGAAATATGATGGTTCTCGTAGCATGTATGAACATGTGACTGAGATGTCAAATATAGCAGCAAGAATTAGAAACATTGGAATGTCTGCGGACGAAAGTTTCCTTGTTCAGTTTGTCATTAACTCTTTACCTCCTCAGTTTAGTCCATTTCAAATTAATTATAACACAATTAAAGATAAATGGAATATGACTGAGCTTCAAACTAAGTTAGTTCAAGAGGAGGAAAGATTGAAGAAACAAGGAGTTCATTTTGTTAATCTTGTGGGCTCGTCTGGAGTTAAGAACAAATCCAACAAGAAGTATGGAAATGGCAAAAGGCCATTGAAGATTAACGAGTCTTCTGCCCAAGTCCATAAGAAGGATAAGACTAAAGAAAAGTGTATTTCTATAAGAAAGTTGGACACTATATGAGGGACTGCCTGAAACGTAAGGCATGGTTCAAAAAAGAAAGGTAAGCCTAGTGTTTTTGTATGTTTCGAATCATATTTATCGGAAGTTCCTTATAATACTTGGTGGATTGATTCTGGATGTACCACTCATATTTCTAATTCTTTGCAGGAATTCCTTATGACCCAAATCATAAACGACAATGAAAGATTTGTATACATAGGGAATCGAGTCAAAGCACGAGTTGAAGCCATTGGAACCTATCGTTTAATTTTAAATATTGGACATCATTTAGATTTGTTTAATACTCTTTATGTACCGGAGTTATCTCGTAATTTAATATCTTTATCTAAACTTGATTTAGAAGGATATTCTTTTAAGTTCGGGAATAGATGTTTCAGTTTATTTAAATATAATTGTTTAATTGGTTCTGGTGTGCTTTGTGATGGATTGTACAATTACATCTTGATAATTTGTTTGCTGAGACATTATTGACCTTGCATCATAGTATAGGAACAGAATGTGCTTCTGTGGATGAGAAATCTGCTTTTTTATGGCATAAGCGTTTAGGCCATATATCAAGAGAAAGGATGCAAAGATTAGTAAATGATGAAGTTTTACCTAATTTGGACTTTACTGATCTTGGTGTCTGTGTGAATTTTATCAAAGGAAAACAAACCACATCCATAATTAAGAAAGCAGCCACAAGAAGCACATAACTCCTTGAATTAATACACACTGATATATGTGGTCCTTTTGATGTACCTTCTTTTAGTGGAGAAAGATACTTCATCACTTTCATAGATGATTTTTTACGTTATGGATATATCTATTTATTGCATGAAAAATCTCAATCTGTTAATATCTTAGAGGTATTCATTAATGAAGTTGAGAGGTAATTAGATAGAAAAGTGAAAGTAGTACGATCAGATAGAGGTGGTGAATATTATGGTAAATACAATGAATCTGGACAATGTCCAGGTTCATTTGCTAAATTCCTGAAAAGTCGAGGCATATGTGCCTAATACACAATGCCGGGAACACCGCAACAGAATGGTGTTGTAGAAAGGCGTAACCGAACGTTAATGGATATGGTTAGAAGTATATTAAGTCATTCCTCATTACCCTCGTCATTGTGGATATATGCATTAAAGACTGTTGTATATTTATTAAATAGGGTTCCTAGTAAGGCAGTTCCAAAGACTCCTTTTGAACTGTGGATAGGAAGGAAACCTAATTTGAGGTACTTGCATGTTTGGGGTTGCCCAGCAGAAGTCAAGATTTATAATCCACATGAAAAGAAACTGGACTCAAGAACGACCAGTGGTTTTTCATTGGTTATCCAGAAAAATCTAAAGGGTATAGTTTTTACTGTCCTAGCCATAGTACGAGAATAGTTGAGACTGGAAATGCAAGGTTTATTGAGAATGGTGAAACCAGTGGGAGTGTTGAACCACGTAAAGTGGATATTCAAGAAGTCAGGGTACAGGTCCCTATGCCTATGACTTCTACAGAGGTTGTGGTTCCTATAGTTGTCAGACGTTCTGATAACAATCAGGAATAACAAATAATTGAGTAAACACTACCTGATAATTTAGTAATCAATGAAGTTGTGGTTGGTGAGCCACATGAAGTTGTAAATGAACCACAAGAAATAGCATTAAGAAGATCTCAAAGACAAAGGAGATCTGCCATTTCCAATGATTATATGGTTTATCTACAAGAGTCTGAAATTGACTTAGGAATGGAAGCAGATCTAGTTTCATTTTCACAAGCCCTTAAAAGTGATAATTCTATAAAATGGTTAGATGCCATGAAAGAAGAGTTAAAATCAATGGAATACAATGAAGTCTGGGATCTAGTAGTATTGCCTAAAGGTTGTAGAAAAGTCAGGTGTAAATGGGTCTTTAAGACCAAGCGCGATTCTAATGGCAATATTGAACTGTATAAGGCCAAACTTGTTGCCAAAGGTTTTACTCAGAAAGACGGTGTTGATTACAACGAGACTTTTTTGCCAGTTTCCTCAAAGGACTCGTTTATAATTATTATGGCAATGGTAGCTCATTATGATCTACAGCTTCATCAAATGGATGTGAAAACTGTCTTTTCTGAATGGGGATTTAGAAGAAGAAGTGTACATAGAACAATCTGATGGTTTTCCAATTGAAGGGAAGGAACACATGGTGTGTAAATTAAAGAAATCTATATACGGATTAAAACAAGCTTCCAGACAGTGGTACCTCAAGTTCAATGATACCATTACGACTTTCGGATTTAAAAAAAACACTGTTGATCGGTGTATATATCTGAAGGTCAGTGGGAGCGCATTTGTAATTTTAGTCCTGTATGTTGATGACATTTTGCTTGCTACTAATAATCTTGGCATGATCTATGAAACCAAGAGGTTTCTCTCTAAGAACTTTGAGATGAAGCATATAGGTGAGGCATCCTATGTGATTGGAATTGAAATTATCCGTGATAGATCACAAGGATTGTTGGGATTGTCTCAAAAAGCTTATATCAACAAAGTTCTTGAGAGATACAAAATGGATAAGTGCTTTGCGAGTCTAGTTCCAATTCAGAAAGGTGACAAGTTGAGCCTTAAGCAATGCCCACAGATTGAATTAGAACGTAAGCAAATGGAGCATATTCCTTATGCATCAGTTGTCGGAAGTTTAATGTATGTTCAGACATGTACCAGACCAGAAATTAGTTTTGCGGTCGATTTGCTAGGTAGATATCAAAGTGATCCTGAATAGATCATTGGCGAGCTGCAAAGAAAGTGTTAAGATATTTACAAGGGACGAAGGATCATATGCTTACCTATAAGAGATCCGATTATCTTGAGGTAGTTGGATATTCAGATTCAGATTTCGTTGGTTGTTTAGACACCAAGAAATCCACTTTTGGCTACATATTTATGTTAGCCGGAGGAGCAGTTTCATGGAAAAGTGCGAAGCAGTCTGTCATTGCTGCTTCCACTATGGAGGCTGAGTTTGTGGCATGCTTTGAGGCCACTGTTCAGGGATTATGGCTGCGGAATTTTATTTCAGGACTTGGGATTGTCGATAGTATTGCCAAGCCGCTAAAAATTTATTGTGATAATGCCGCATCAGTCTTCTTTTCTAAAAACGACAAATATTCAAAAGGTGCTAAACATATGGAATTAAAATACTTTGCCGTTAAAGAAGAAGTTCAGAAACAAAGAGTGACTATTGAGCATATTAGCACCAATTTTATGATAGCGGATCCGCTAACTAAAGGGCTATCACCTAAGACCTTTAGTGAGCACGTTGAAAGGATGGGTATTATTGCCCGTCATGATTGATATATAATGTATTGTATATGTTCCTTGACATTATGTTATTAACATTATGTTGTTTTTATGTACATAAAGCTCTTTATGTTTAGTCACTCTGAGCTCTTGATGTATTGTTTCTGATTGATATAAGTTATTCTGTTGTATGTTTCTTTATATTATGTTGTTTTGTATACATGAATGATAAAGATGACATAATTTGTCCTTGGTAAGGGCATTATTGTTGGACCATTAAGAATTATTATAGATTGTTCTGAGTATAGAATTTGTAAAGTGATACATGGAAGGGAATATGTTGATTTAATAACATATGACCGCCATGATCCTTATAGGTTCCTACTCTATAATGTTTATATCTTGACCATTTAAGATATGACCTTTAGTTAATTATTATTGTGTACACATTATATTTAATTACTAAGCTGTAAAGTTTTATTTTTATGACATATGGACCAAGTGGGAGAATGTTAGAATTATTTATAATTCTTATAAAGTGGTCCATGTGAATTAAATATAATATAAGGTTTAGTAATAATTAATTTAATTGAAGGGCATATTGGTCTTTAGCCTTTGATGGAAAGGTGTGGTGTTTGCAGTTAATTAAATAACTGTAATATAAAAGGTGGGTCCTCTCTCTATTCTCAAATATACTAAATTTTTTTTCTCTGCCATCAAGAGAGTTTGCGATTACAGAAGAGAAGAAAGGGAGAGAAATGCTGCCTATTTTTTATTCAATCAAGATTCAAGTGTCAATTTTCATACTATGGAATCAGGTATGTATTTCTTTTATATATATGAGAAAGTTCATCAAGTTTCAAGATCCTGTAACTTTATATTTGTGCAACTTAGGGCAGAGAAACATGAATTGATTATTGATTCTTTGCCTTTGATGAGTTTGCTTTTAAGTTTACAATGGAAATTAAGTTTAAGAGCACCATCTATTTATCAACCAAAAGATAAATAATTTCTTGATAATTTCTTCATTTCTTTTGGTGAAAAAAATGAGATTTTTTTTTTTTTTTTTTTCAGACTTTGCTGGTTAGTCTAAAATGAGGGGAAAAAAAAAAAAAAAACTGAAATAGTTATTAATTTTTATTTAATGAATTTTATCAATTAATAAAGGTGTAATAATTCTTTTTGTATATTTTGAAACCATATCATAGAGAGTAATGTTATGCCAACAACCCCCTCTCACAAACCTCTCTTACAAATCTACGTGTCAACAGATTAGCAATGCCACGTCATCTCCCAGGACACCAAGACATCAAAGCACTATGAGAAACAAACGATCGTTCTTGGAGGAGGAATGGCCATCCCCTACGAAGGAACATTTGTTCCTTCTATAAGGAATGATCGTTCCTTTAAGGAATAACTGTTTCTTCTCTTCTCTTTCTTCTCTTTCTTCTCTTCTTCTTCTTCTTCTTCTCTTATCTTTCTTCTCTTTTCTTCTTCTTCTTCTTATTCATTTTCTTCTACTCATTTTGAGAAATGGAGAAACGGTTGTTCATTCCGTAAGAAACGGTCATACCTTTATAAGAAACGATTGTTCCTTCATTCCCTATAAATGAACGGCTGTTTCTTTGGTCTAGTCAAAATAATTTTCTAGTCTTGGGTGTGGTGGAGCTACTGTGGCAATGACAAGTCAGGTGCCACGTCGACATTGTGAAAAAGGGTTGTGAGAGGGAGTTGTTAGCGTAACGTTATTCTATCATAAAAGAGTAATACTACGGTTACATCACACTCCTACACCATTCTCTTACACCATGGCATGGCAGATGACATGGCGGTGCCACCTCAGATGACAAGTCAGCGAGTTGCCATGTCACTTACCCCTAAATTTAAAAAAAAAAAAAAAAAAAAAAAATTTGCTACCCCAAAATTTCGAATGCAACTTTTCTTAAAACAAAACCCTAAATCAATTTCAATTTCCCTTAAAAACAAACCCAGCACAATTTCTCCCCAAATTTCCTTTCAATCTTGAAAACCATAGCCACCACATTCTCTGATCACACCTTGACTAGGTCGCCGCCGTCCACCATCCCAAATTGGTTTCACTTCAAATATTCCTCTTTCACGACCACTGCCACTCTTAGCCGCTGTCCACTGACAAACGCAGATGTTCCACTTCAGTTGAGTTCGACGAGTGCCTGCCGAGCCGCACCAAGTCGCCGACCGTCTGCTTTTCTAAAATGCAATGCTTATTTTGTAATCAATGGCCTATCAATGATATTGAATGAATTTTTTTTGTCATTGAAAATGATGGTTCTTTGGCCAAGCTTGTCCGCAAGCGATATCAAAGCTTTGACGACAATCTCAGCTACTGTCCAATGCCCACCACCCTTAAACAAAACTCAAGTTCTAGTCCGGTGTTTGCTCAAGTTAATTAATGTGTTTATATGTGTATCATTTTTCTGGTTTGATAGGAATTGGGTGTTCGAATTGAAACGCCAGTAATGAAATATGTCATTCAATTTAAAAGATCTAATTAGCTTTTTCGTAGGAGTGCCAGTGGTTGATAACTTGGGTGTCGAAGAGACTCTTTCAATGGTACTAATTGGTGGCCTATCTGGGAACAAAGATTTTGATTTACTTATCGGGTATGGTTATTGGTTAGATTTGAATTATTGGCATCAGATTTGATAAATGTCAATGAGAGTAATTGTTTCGAGACCAATCCTAGTGAAAGTTTCTTGAATTGGTCCCATTAAAATTGAACAAATTCATCTCTTTGATGCATGCACCTACCTATTCAACACAAGTCCAAGATTTATATTTGATCAAAGCATGTGCCGAATAGTTTTGCTTTGCCCGTGAAACAAATATTTAGAGAGTAAAATTTCAATTTTCTTATATCATGCTGATTGGTTTTCTAGAATAAGGGTACTTCATTTATTTATTATTTTCTATTGTTACTTGGAAAAATCAATTATAAGACGACTATACTTTTGAAATTTTGTTTGTCAATGAATAATTCCGAGTGACGTAAATCTTCGGTAGGCCAAATAGAATTAACCACAGATTAAATAAATTGGAATGTGAACACAACCAGTTGTACTTCCAATTAACTAGATATTGCAGGCCATAAAAAAAAAAAAAAAAATATATATATATATATATATATATATATAGAGTACAGGCTGCTGCCAAGCTGAACATCAAATCTAATCAGCTATGTATACATCGTCTCAATTCCATCAATTTCTCTCACTAAAGGTCTTCAAAGACAAAGCAACATGTTGCCATCCATTCCAAACAAACTCCAAACGAATCAATAAGCATGTTAATCTTGTATTCCATCAACAATCCAGTTCAAATACAATCTGCAGTTCTTCCTGTGATCCTTTCTTCCCTCACCAGAAAAACAAACATTCAACTCCTGTTGTTCCTGATTTCACAAAGTAATTATGCATTCAGTAAAAGTTCATAACAATTCAAATTTGTCCTTTATCTACAACATATTTTACTAGGAAAGTACAAGCAGGCAACCCACCTGATAAAACAAATCTATAACATATTTTACTGCAATGGGAAAGAAAAGTATAAGCAAGCAATCAAGGTAAAACAAATTTGTTCATCGAGAAACTTCACAACAATTTCGAAAAGTTATGGGTAGATTCTTCACAATGCAACAAGAGCTCAAGAAATAATCGGAGAAGAACATAAATGGCTTAGTTGAGTAGGAATTTTTCATTGACAACAGTTGCCCCTCTGACATAGACAAGTCACATGGATTTGAACCATATCAATTTTCATGCAACTACCATAGACAAGTCTATTCTCACCTTTGATGCAACATAATGGCTGCATGTTTGTGGCTCAATTTGTCTTAGAACGGCATGGCTACTAACCAAATGTAATATAATTTAATCTTCCTAAATTTGAGTAATCTCTTACCACAGCTGAAGAAGATGCTAACTCATCTTTCCTTTATGTATTTGCCATGTTAGGCCCACCATATATTGTCAAAAGCCTGCAAATTCAACAAATACATGACAAGAACAACAACAGATGATGTCGAACTCAACCGACATGGAATAGCTACATTTGTCGGTGGACGACGATGTCGAACTCAACCGACATGGAATAGCTACATTTGTCGGTGGACGACGACTGAGATTGGCAGTGGTGGTGAAAGAGGAATATTTGAAGTGAAACCAGTTTGGGATGGTGGACGGTGGCGACCTGGTCGGGGTGTGATTGGAGAATGTGGTGGCTATGGTTTTCAAGAATGAAAGGAAACTTAGGGAGAAATTATGCTGGGTTTGTTTTTGAGGGAAATTGAAACTGATTTTTGTTTTAGGAAAAGTTGCATTCGAAATTTTGAGACAACAAATATGTATTTTTTTTTTTAACATTTTGAGGGAAGCCACGTGGCAACTCGCTAATATGGCATCTGAGATGACATCGTCACGTCATTGACCACGTCATGGTGTAAGAGAATGGTGTAGGAGTGTGATGTAATGATAGTATTACTCGTCATCATAAAAAATAATTAATAAGGGTATAATGGACATTCAAATATTCTAACTCATTTTTTAAGTTAACTTAAATGATTTTATAGCATTATGCGTCCTATCTATGTCTCTTTAGAAACTTGTATCTCATTTTAATTGTTTTTCATAAATATGCGCCCTTATTTTGATTCTCTCCCTAAATCTTTGTTAAGAACAATTTCTGAATTTACATTTTTACTCTCATATAAATTAGAGGTGGGGCGTATTGATAAATTAAATGGGGTTCAAAAATCATTTCCCTTACATAAACCTATTTGATAAAAAAACAGAAGAGAACGTTCTTGGGTTTATTCTTATTGGGTCTTAGTGATTAATTAAGAAACCCATTAAAATCCAAGTTAATGCTGTATTGTATTTTCGTTTAGCATTTAAAAATTGTATATGATATATTTAAAATAGTTTATAATGGAAAAAATAAAATATGATTCACTTACTATAATAAAACTTTTTTATAATAATACTCTATATAGGAATAACCTTTACATAATCATAAAAAATTATAATCTCAACTTAAGATAATCATAAATAAGAATAAACTCTATTATAATGTAATAAATTATGATTTTTCTAATTCTCGTATTAAGAAAGTTATCTTCACATAGAAATAATTATCTGAATAGTGCAGAAAAATATATATTACGTTATATTAAATGTTTAAGATGAAATAAAATATTTATTAATATTTTTTAACTTGCGGATACGAAATAACTTGCTAGCCTAGATATTTTCCTATTGAAGCCAAAATATTTATAATTTCTTAAATCTCAAGCATGTTTAGAGTTTCTTGGCACGAAACCTTTTGTATTTCCGTATTATTATTCTGAGGATTATTTCCTTTCTCTTCTTATCTAATTGCAACAATGACTACTAAAACAATGAATTAAAATTTTAATACATAATTACATATTACTAAAACGTGAATTATAAAATAATAAATCAAAACAGTAATTTTTGTAACTACATTTTTATTAAGTTATAATCTTCTTGTAGTAATAAATTAATTTAATCATACCATTATGACTATAGAGAGTTTTTACTATATTTTAAAGTATTATCCATAACTACTCATATATATATATATTTTCAATTTATGTGTTTATGTTTAGAATAATACTGCATATACATTATTCTCATATAACATTTCTCATACAATATTATGTGACAAGATATGATTGGGTGAAAGTTTAATTTTAACTTTAAATTAGCCAATCATATCTTGCCACATAATGTTGTTATCCAAATATGTGTTGTTATCCCAATTGGATAACAACACATATTTGGATAACAAAGATTTGATATGAAAAATTTACGCAGTAATATGATATTAATGTTTACTTACTGTGATTACATGTAAATTAAATAAATAATTATGTCATACACAAATACATAATATATTTATTTAGAATTATTTTGGACAAAATGCTTGTAAACATTATATTGATTAGAGACTTTTAAGTTTGTGGGCTAATGAGCTTAGTGGTGGACTATCAAAGCATTCAAGTACACGAAATCCATGGCTGAATATGATGAATCTTTTTCAGCGAAACAGAGTAGAGAAAAAAGGATGTGAGAGAAAGAAGAGAGTAACCACACAATAGCGTAAAGAAGAAAAAATAAACTGGAAATAGGAAATTGAAAAAAAAAAAAAAAAAGCTAATTAAAAAAAATTAGAAAGTAGTGATTTAAATAAAAACCCTAATTAAGTTTGAAAGGAAAAAGTGATATAACAAAAACTTTAATTAAGTATGAAATTTGGGAAAATAGGTGCTAACAAAAACTTCAGTATTAAATGGGGGGGTTCAAAGAATTTTTAAAAAATATAGTAAAGATGTATTTAACAATGGAGAATAGCAATCAAATTAATGAGGCTGAAAAAACTTCCCAACTATTTTATTTATAAATGTTTTCTACTATAAACTTCTAAACATATAATTGATTATGGATTTTTATGTTTGTCGGCTAACGGGCCAACTAGTGGGCTCAACATTAAGCTACCAAAAAGCCTAGCCCAAACCATTGAAGTCCACAACATCCATGGCTGTTGGTAAATCTAAAGGTGTATGATGGATCTTTTTTACAGCAAAACAGAAGCAAAGAAACGTGAAGTGAGAGGAAGAAGAGAAGAGTTGCGAAGTTGTTGAAAAAAATGGGACACACTGGCGAGTTTTTCAAGAGAAGGGACCAGTGGAGGAGGCATCCATTGTTGACCAGCAATCTCCGCCAAGCCACTCCCGGTTTGGGCATCGCTCTTGTTGCTTTTGGAATCTACCTTGTTGGTGAACAAGTCTACAACAGATTCATCGCTCCTTCTCCCTCTCATTCTGAATACCATCACCAGTCTCCTGCTTCATCTTCTCATTGATTGGTGAGGTTCGATTTATTTTTTTATGTAAGATTTTTGGAATTTGATGAATTGGGTCTGTGTAAAGTTTAGGTTTTTTACTCATAAATTTTCTCTTTTGCTATTAAATGACAGATTTTTGGATTTGCTTAGTTTTTATGAAATGGGTCGTGAGAAGTTTGGATGTTTATTCGATTTATGATGTAATTAGTTTAAATCTTATTCAGTTATATCTGATACTAAAATCTCTATCTTTGGCTCTTATAATTTGTGGGTGTTGTTGTGATTGTGCTTTTGTCAAATGGGTTTGTCTTTGATGCTTTATTATTTGCTAATGGTGCCTTAATTTTGGTCCATATGTTTATTTTGATTGGGAAAGCTTTATTGGTTTTAATGAAATGGGTTTATTGTAAAATTTAGGCTTTTCGCGGTATTTTGATATACCACTGTCGTGTTATTTATTTTAGATCAGTTGAAGAAGAAAGTTCCATGATATTACGAATATTTCTGTTCGAATTGGTTTCTATGGCTCAATTTACTTAGCTAGGACATTAGACTTTTTCGTTGTTCTTTTCTGTTGTAAAAAGATTATACCACATCTTTTTTTTTTTTGTTTCCCTCTATTTGAGTGAAAAATTAGAGGTTTTCTTGATATACTGGTTGGTTTACTGTGTGGTCTGTCATTGAGCTCAGTGTATAGAGTTCTTACTGTGCAATTGATGTTTCAATTCCGCTGCAGCTCTAGGCGCTTCTTTACTCTAATGTTTTCTTGTTGTCCATTTGATTTTTAGACTAGAATTTGGTTGTTTATGGCTATTTGCCCAACTTAACTGGATTTGCATCAGCATATTAAGTTGTGTGGAATGCCAAAATAGAGTTTTCATAATGCTTAAAAGAGATTACCTGGCTTTATGATGTGGTTTTTATCATCTACTTATTTTGACATGCCGTGATTTCATGCATGTACAACTAGAAGAGACTTCCAAAATGACAGGTTTGTGAGAATTTTTTTTTTTTTTTTTTCTCTGTATTGATGAAGCATTTTCTCTATTTAGGATTTCTTGTGTTTCATGTTTGATCTTTTCTCTTTGTTTTTTTTTCTTGGAGGGAGGGCAAGACCAATTTAACGGAATTTAAAACAATGAAAAGTGGATGTATCATTTATGCAGAGCACAAAAGACCTAATAAAGTTTACTTGTGAAAAGAATTAATTGGATTATAATTTAATTTCTGGGTGGATTTAATTTGAGTGTTTTCTAGTTGTAGAAAAGGGTCCTTCTTATGTCGCTTATGTATTTAATGTTGTCGTTTTTGGAGTCGAGGGGAATTCTACAATGTTTAGGTTCAGTGTTTCAATATTGACTCTCGAGATAGGATTTTGGAGAAATCCAAGGCAAGGTGGGTTGTTTTATCTGTTATTTCTATGAAAGCCTATCCTGTATGGCTTCTTATGACGGTTTCCTATTTTTGTGTGTGTGTGTGTGTGTGTGTGTACTTCCATCCATTTAATTGTTTCCAGTTTTTAATTAATTTTTAATTTTATTGCAATTGACTTTCATCTTAAGATGTTTGGTGATTGCGTAGGCTAAGTTCGCATTATCAGTTTAATCGTGGCTTGGATGAGAGTAAAGATGAGTTTAAAATGTGCTACTGTGGTCACTAGGTTTTCTATATATAGAACTAAATTGACCTTGACCTTCAACAAATTTGGTTACTGTTATCTATTTCAAACTTTAATTTGATCTGTGTGAAAAAGATACCCATGATGTAAACATCAGTGTTTGGTTGATTGAGGTTCCTGTGAGGCAAGATCAGTTGTTGGTATAGAGAGATCTGTTGATAGATAATAAATGATGAGATAAATATTCTTAGTGAAGAACTAGCGTCAATTGTAATTGCTTAATTACAAGAATTTTCAGAGGGTTTACACTACCTTGTGTGGTTTTGTAATATCTTCCCTTTTAGAGTAAGCGGTTTCACATTATGGAGGGGCTGCTTTGATTTTTGGTTTAATCCGCTAATTTTAGGTGTTAAATTTACAACTCCCTGTCTCTGTCCTTTGATAGGAAATTTTGTAATAGGGAGCTGACGGAATTCGCATGCAAATTCAATATGATCAAACAAATCTTCTATCAAGTACTGAACATTTGTATTGTTTTGGTTTGTTTGACAGATGGCTGAGAGGGCAGATGTCGCCAAGGTCAGAGATTGCTTGAACCTGTTTCGATTTCCCGCTTCATGGTTTGATTTAATAAGTACATAGTTGGCATGTTCTACCAATAGTTATTTTGTTTCACAACTTTGAATGTATGACTACTTGTATGTTTTCTATAGATGTTATATTTCCTCTGTTAATGTGGTAGTCCTTTAATCTAATAAGAAGTTTCTTCATATCTATTGTCTTTGATTGTTTAGTGTACATATGGTTAAATTGATATTAGAAGCAAAATTATTACTAAACATTGGTTTTATTGCGAGTTAACATATATCAAAACTACCTATCTGTCAAAATTAAGTTAGAAATCATAGTATATAAGAGTTTATGATTGACCTTGTGGTGGATAACTTGCATTGGATTTAGGGGTGGTGAAATCTGATTAACCAGACCAGTTCGGCTCATTTTTTAACCGAACCGGAAAACCGGTTCAGGTGGACATCCAACCGAAACCGGACTGATTTTTCATCTGAACCGGTTTGTAACCGAACCAATTATTCGGTTTGGTTAACCGGTTTTTTTTCTTTAAATTAGTTTAAAATTCATAGCCGAAATTTAGGAAAGCAAATCAGATTCTAGGACCTTTGCTGTCAAGCTTAGAGATATGGTATGTTAAAAATCCAGCATCCAATTCATGTTAAAGTAAGGCAAACAAACAATTTAGACTAATCAATATTGGCTTTGTTACAGGTTACACTTATAGAACAGCCAAAATCCAAGAATATTTATACCGTCATGTAGCCTCAAAATTAATCACTTTAGATTTTAATTTTTTTGGAAAGTACGTATTTAAAGGACACATGCATATGAAAAAAACAGCGAATATAGAATGTAACTCAGCGTCTTAGCCAATAAAATTCGTACTAAAACCTTATGTTTACTTGGGACTTTTTACAAGACTACCCCAAAACCAGCAAGCAAATACAACCACACACAACACACCTTACGCCCAGAAAAATTCGTAAAAAAAAAAAAAAAATTAAATGATTTAAGAATCAAAAGGAAGAAAAAATTTGTTGTTTTCAAGGAGGCTCTGTTGGCTGCTGCACGTCGACAGATTTGTGGGCGATGACAGTCAATGGTCACAGGAGATTGCACGGCAGTCGTTCGGCGACAGTGAAAAACAGAGAAAGAGTCGAAGACACCAGAGAAGAAGAGAGGCGGAGAGCTCAATTTGAGAGAGTTAGGGTTTTTACTTTTTAGTTTAGAGTGAAATGAAATAAAAAAATTCCCAATTACTTTTGTAAAATCCGGTTTACAAATCCAATTCCAGTTAACCGGTTTACACAATAGGTTCAACCGTTAACCAAATTGGAAATTTGGTTCAACTATCGTTCCGAACCAAAACCCCAAAAAAACTGCTTTTTGGTTTGGTTTTTTTGGTTCGGTCCAGTTGCCGAATTTTTTTTTTCCATCCGTAATTGGATTCCTGTAAGCCTAAAACTGAAAACATAGACTTTATGGTGAGTTCTTTAATGAACTCATTTCTATTATTTTAAAATATGAAAAATAAAAACGCGGAAATTAATATTTGAAAATGTGAAAAATAAACTCATGAAACTTCTTGTCAAAAAATAATATTTATAATGTAAAAACATGTATTTCAACAGTCAAGACATAATCAAGATGGAGCTTAAATTCTTATATATATATATATGGGACAAAGTTGATTACTTTTTAGAACCAGAAGATATGGTTTAAGAGTTAACGACCCAAAAAATGGCCCATTGAAAAATTTATACCCACCCACTTTTTAAATACCTTTTTAGTACCCAAAGCATAATTTTGTTAATAATTTTTATTGTAAGGAAATACAAAATGGTCAAAAGTCCATTATTAAGGAAGATAATCTGGTTAACAAACATTGACAATTGGAAAAGAAGAAAAGAAAAAGGGACGATGGACGTTAGCAGTGTTCACAACTGACGGTTTTTGCCCTTTTTCAGTCGATCTAGACGTTCAAAATCCCTTCTGAGACCACCCACAAAATCCCCATCACCTCCTCTACAAAGTCGAAGCCTCCATTTGTCCTCATCACTCACCATTTCCCACCACCACATCCATTCGCACAGCCAACTCTTCAAGTCGAATTTCCAATCGATTTCTTTGCCATAAATTCCCCCGCACCACCACACTCGCCATAGCCCACTCTACAAAACCCTTACCTCCATCACTGTCCCTTGCTCGTCGATCGTTGGCCATGCACCACAAGACCTTTCAACTTCCAAGTCGATTTTCGGTCGTTTCTGGTGTCGAAAATCATCCCTGCTACTACCAATCGATTCCCTACATCTTCCTCTCCAAAAGACCCAACATTCCCGATCCCGTTTGCTCACCAATCACTAGCGGTTGAAGCTTCCCTACCCTAGTGTTTTTCGAGTTTTAATTGGATTAATTGGGTTTGATTCGTCCAATTTTTGTGTTTGTTGGGTTAAAATACAATTGAGGAATGTTTATTTGCGGCATTTTCTGGTTGCCTGCACTCCCCAACGTTGGCGACAATTGCCGGCAATGGAAAAGGCTATGAAGAGAAGCAATGGAAGAGGATAAGAAAAAGGGTTTTTTTTCTTCGTAAATCACTATATTTTTCAACCAAATCAGAGGGAAACATATTATTTGGATAGTAAAAAAGTATTTTAAAGGTCTAAAGGTGAGAATCAATGAAACATTTTTTGGGTGGGAACATGTCGTTAACTCTATGGTTTAATGGAGTAAAAAGTTTTGCAATATGATATGTAAAATTATAAGCAATATAATTATAAGTTTTTAGTTGTTTTTAAAATGATTTTTTTTTTTTTTGTTTAGTGAAAACCCAAATGGAGAAAAAAGTGAAGACTACATGTTAATTATTTTTTTTATTATTTTGGAATAGAATTGCCTGTTAAACTTCAAACAAAATGTTAAGAATTCCTTTGTTTGTTTTTTTTTTTTTTTTAATTTCTTCTTATTGCTTCTCAAATTCTTAATTTTTCAAATTTAATTCTTTCAAATTATTGTAGTGATTCTAATCTCAATATTTGTTTGTGTTGTTTAGTTGTATTACAATTACATTCATAGGTTAATTATATGGATATTTTTTTTTTTTTTTTTTAACTTTTAACTTGAATATCAAAAAGTATATGTAGGAATCTGAGAGGCGAGGGCAAATTGTATTAAGTAAACACAATGAAATGTTTTCTCTTTCAAAATTAAAAAAAAAAAAAAATTGACAACGAATTCATATCCTCTAACTCTCCAAGCCCAAAGCCCAGAAACACAGGTCATTTAATAGAATGTTAAGGGCAAAAGTGTCATTAAGAAAAATACAAGGGCTATAAATTTCACCTTCGCCTCCTACCCACTCAGTCACTAGGGTTTCTGCATCTAGGGTTTTTCCTCTTTGCCTTCTAAATTATCATTATTATTTGTGAAAGCGCAACCCTTAAGATCGCCTTCCAAAAATCAGAATGGAAGCGTTTTGAGTCATTGCTGCGCAACATTAACCCTTTTACTTTGGGGTTTCTCTTTTGGGTTTTCCGACTGAGTTCCCCTCTTATCCCTCCTTTTTTTAACTCTTGATGAGACATGCGATCTATTTCTGGCTTTGTAATCTTTCCCATTCTTTGAGCTTCAAAGATTTAATTCTCTCTTTGCTTGTCTCACCTAATTGGTTGATTCAGGTCAGTTAGGTACTTTGAAATGTCTCATCTATCAGTGAGGGAGACATATAAAACCTTCCAATTTTCTCATTTTTATTATGGGTTTTAAAAGATATTTGGTGGGTTGGTTGTTATTGACAGGCAAGAATGATGAATCAATTAGATGTGTGAAGGGAATTATTCTTTTGTGAACTCGACTATTTGAGGCATATTATTTGTCTGACTTGCCATTAATTACTTAAAATTATATTTCAAAGTGTTGATTTGAAGCTTTTAATTAATTGGTTGTTGAATTTAAAGTAATTGGTCTGTGATGACAAAGTGAAAGGCTTGTTTCTCAAAACATTCGCAGTGGCCGCCTGAGAGCTTTCGCCTTCGCCAGGCTTGAGAGCTTCTGCTGCTTTATTTCCTTCCTTGGATGTCTGAGACCACCATTCAATTTTACTTTATTTTCACTATTTTCATTGAATTGTAAACATTATAAGAATTAATTTCCTTCATCATCAAATCAATTGACTGAATTACTGCTTAATGATGATACAATTCAAACTGTTTTAAGACCTTTAAATTGCGTAATATCACACCAAAATTGTGAAGTTTTATCAACTCTTCAGTAAATGACTTGGGGAAAACTTTAGAAATACTGAAGAAGCCACACTATCCCTAGTAAATCATTGTTCATGGACAAATTATGGTTAATGAAAAGCTGAAGAAATGTAGGAGGAGACGACATTTCACAAGATATTTTATCATTATGGGTAGCCAGTTTTAATTGCAATTGACTGCGAGTCTGGGGCTTTTCAATCCAATTCTTACACTTCTCAATGACAAACTGCTGCCTCATCACTCCGATTTTAAATCGAGTGAAATACTAAACTTACAGAGACATCCGGTTGGCGTTAGGCTATCCATTGGGTATGCAGAATCGGTAAGTATAGTTTTACCCATATGTTCCACTCCATGTCAGGATGATGTCCATTGGGTATACATAATCGATAAGTTTAGTCTTATCCCGACTGACCATTGTGAGCCTAGTCTTACCCCTTAAATTAAATTTGAATAAATGTCTTAAATTACTTTATGCAAATCCCAGAATTATAAGCCATATATACATACACTCAAAAGTGAGATTTTCTAAAAACGACAGTCAGAGCCTCAAAAATAGTTCTTGTTCTCCAAAATAATAAAATACACTGATGATTCAGCTATCCTATTTGAGGCACAACTCAACAGCCGAAAACACAGAACTGAAGATTCCTCCGAAAATGCTCTCATTTTTTACAAAAAATAAAAATTGCCAAGTCTACGTAATCATGAGGAATTTCCCCTTGTGTATATTCCATCACAATCATTCTACCCAACATTCTAAAAGAAATTGACAATTCACAAATTAGGCAATAACTTCAGAGCAGCTTCAATCTGTTGGTTAACACATAGTACTTGAACAAAGAACAGCCTAACAATACAAAATAAAATGACCATCTAACGGCAACAACCTCATTATCATTGCTTTCTTGCAAGAACTTTCACTATTAAAAACAGTTCACCTCTCTTACTAATTAATGATATTGACATATTTCAACATTACTTTCACTGCTTTGATATTTCACAAAACTCAAGAGAGCAACAGCACTTCGTCAGTAAAGAATGATCCAGGTCCACATGTCAACACTTTGTATTCTATTCTACAACCACCTCGTTTTCATCCAACATATCTAAAACAGGCAAGTGAGCAGACAAGCAAAAATGAATTACAATATGTGGCCAGACATTGAATTTAACATGGCTATCTGGTGAGCATATTTCCAACTTCAACATCTTAAAAGTGCTGGTGTTACACAAAATGAATAAGTTTTATCCACAAGTGTCCAGTTAGCGATTAGTTGACATGAGGAAATGAGGGAAATAGGTTCCGCAACAACACCTACCTCCGAAAAATAGGTTGTGATTTCATCGATTTTTACACAGAAATCTTATGTTTTCATGGTTTCTTTAGATGATACAGGTTCTGCAAATTTAATTTATTTAACAAACTTGAGCCAATTCCACCTATACCAGTAGAGATAAGAGAAAACAAGCTGGGATGAAGGTTTGAAAATCAAGTCTACGGGGAGTCTCAACTCTCAAAAAAAAGCTAAACTGAACATTGAGATAATTGAATCGAGCTTCTTTATATGAACTGTTCACACAATGGCCCTCGGCATATATTTTACCAACACAAACAACAACAAGAAGAAACTTCGAAAGAAGATTAACTCAGCTGCTTAATTTCATTTGATAATTCAATATCTTCCCAATTGACTTCAAAATAACCTTGAGTTTTTTACTCTGCCAAAACTTAATACGAGTGAATTCGATCTCAACCATAACAAACCTTAAGACATAGTCTTACGAGCTCAGTTTATAACTAGAAATCCCTCAACCTTTCCCTACATGTTCACCAAATCCTAACCTTAAAAGCGAAGCTAAGAAAACTATGATTATTTCCTAGTTCCATCATTTTCCCTATCAGTAAAAATATATTCATCCATGTGCTACGAAATTAATTTTGAACAAACGATGAGAAATAAAAAATCTAAAGACACCACAGTTATTTCCATTGGATAACAAAAATCAATCAAGAAATTGAACAAACTGAATCCCCGCACCCCTTCTAATCAATACCCAAAATTGATACATAATAAAAACAGCAGCAGCAGCTAAGTTTAATTCAATTGGACTACATTTTGGTTTCATCAATCAAGAAAACCTGTTTGACGAAACACAGCATTTCTCACCTGCCGCAGATCTCTCCCTTTCAAAGTCCTCCCAACTCCTTCCAATACCGAAAATGTCGTCTTTGGCGACATCCCGGAGCCCCTCGCTACAATCTCATGAGGTGGCAACATCTCATCGTCTCCATCCTCCTCATCTAACTCGAAAAACCTACTATTCCTCTGCTTCGCCATCGCAATTGACAAAACCGGCACATTCATCGGCGCCGAGTGCTGGTACTTTCTCATCGGCGTCGATTGCGACCTCTCCATCTGCGGCGGTTTCGGCAGCGTCGGAATCATTTTCGCAGACGTCGACGACGATATCGATGATTTTCGGTAGAGCACCGGACAGTTATCGTGCTCCGGTAAAGCCGCAAGAATTCCGGAACCTTGCGCGAAAGATGGGAAACGGTTGTGATTGTTGACCGGGGAGAAGGCTGTTGTCGGTGTGACGGTGGTGCTGCTGTTGGTGAAAGCATTAGATTCGGTGGAGTCGTCGTTGGTCCAGAAAATATCGTCTTCATTGAGCTCGTCATCGGCGGCTTCGGAGGCAGTGGAGGTCGAGGAGGAGATGCCAAGGAATCGGTCGGAGGAGGGGGATTGGCGGTGGCGGAAAGTGGGGTCCATCCGGTTAGTGGTTCCACCGAAACAAAATATTTTGTGATTTTCGTGAAAATATAAATAGAGAACGAGAGAGAGAGAGAGAGAGAGAGAGAGAGAGAGAGAGAGAGTGATGTGGCGGAGAGTCGCAGCAACTACAGAGAAGTGGGGGTGGAGTGGAGGAATCAGGAGAGTGGAATGGAAAAACATAAATTAACTTTTAACTTGAATATCAAAAAGTATATGTAGGAATTGAGAGGCGAGGGCAATTGTATTAAGTAAACACAATGAAATGTTTTCTCTTTAAATTTAAAAAAAAAAAAAAAATGGACACGAATTCATATCCTCTAACTCTCCAGCCCAAAGCCCAGAAACACAGGTCATTTAATAGAAGTTAAGGGCAAAAGTGTCATTGAAAAATACAGGGCTATAAATTTCACCTCCTCCTCCCACTCAGTCACTAGGGTTTCTGCATCAGGGTTTTTCCTCTTGCCTTCTAATTATCATTATTATTGTGAAAGCGCAAACCTTAAGATCGCCTCCAAAAATCAGAATGGAAGCGTTTTGAGTCATTGCTGCGCAACATTAACCCTTTATTTGGGGTTTCTCTTTTGGGTTTTCCGACTGAGTTCCCCTTATCCTCCTTTTTAACTCTTGATGAGACATGCGATCTATTTCGGCTTTTAATCTTTCCCATTCTTTGAGCTTCAAATTTAATTCTCTCTTTGCTTGTCTCATAATTGGTTGATTCAGGTCAGTTAGGTACTTGAAATGTCTCATCTATCAGTGAGGGAGACATATAAACCTTCCAATTTTCTCATTTTTATTATGGTTTAAAAGATATTTGGTGGTTGTTGTTATTAGAGGCAAGAATGATGAATCAATTAGATGTGTGAAGGGAATTATTCTTTTTGTGAACTCGACTATTTGAGGCATATATTTGTCTGACTTGCCATTAATACTAAAAATATATTCAAAGTGTTGATTTGAAGCTTAATTAATTGGTGTTGAATTTGAAGTAATTGGTCTGTGATGACAAAGTGAAGGCTTGTTCTCAAAACATTCCGCAGTGGCCGCCTGAGAGCTTTCGCCTCGCCAGGCTTGAGAGCTGCTGTCGCTTATTTTCCTTCCTGGATGTCTGAGACCACCATCAAATTACTTTATTTTCACTATTTTCATTAATTAAACATTAAAGAATTAATTTCCTTCATCATCAAAGCAATTGAACGAATTACTGCTTAATGATGATACAATTCAAACTGGTTTAAGACCTGTAAATTGCGTAATATCACACCAAAATTGTGAAGTTTTATCAAACTTCGTAAATGACTTGGGAAAACTTTAGAATACTGAAGAAGCACCACTACCCTAGTAATCATTGTTCATGGACAATTATGGTTAATGAAAAGCTGAAGAAATGTAGGAGGAGAACATTCACAAGATATTTATCATTATGGGTAGCCGTTTTAATTGCAATTGACTGCGAGTTGGGGCTTTTCAATCCAATTCTTACACTTCTCAATGACAAACGCTGCCTCATCACTCCGATTTTCCACTCCATGTCAGGATGATGTCATTGGGTATACATAATCGATAAGTTTAGTTATCCCGACTGACCATTGTAAGCCTAGTCTTACCCCTAATTAAATTGAATAAATGTCTCAAATTACTTATGCAAATCCCAGTTAGACTAATCAATATTGGCTAGAACAGCCAAAATCCAAGAATATTTATACCGTCATGTAGCCTCAAAATTAATCACTTTAGATTTTAATTTTTTTGGAAAGTACGTATTTAAAGGACACATGCATATGAAAAAAACAGCGAATATAGAATGTAACTCAGCGTCTTAGCCAATAAAATTCGTACTAAAACCTTATGTTTACTTGGGACTTTTTACAAGACTACCCCAAAACCTTGTTTGAGGGCAACTTGAATCACAACAAACAAGCAAATACAACCACACACAACACACCTTACGCCCAGAAAAATTCGTTAAAAAAAATTAAATGATTAAGAATCAAAAGGAAGAAAAAATTTGTTGTTTTCAAGGAGGCTCTGTTGGCTGCTGCACTTCGACAGATCTGTGGGCTGACTGTCGATGGTCACTGGAGATTGCACGGCAGTCTTTCGGCGACAGTGAGAAACAGAGAAAGAGTCGAAGACACCAGAGAAGAAGAGAGGCAGAGAGCTCAATTTGAGAGAGTTAGGGTTTTTACTTTTTAGTTTAGAGTGAAATGAAATAAAAAAATTCCCAATTACTTTTGTAAAATCTGGTTTACAAATCCAGTTCCAGTTGACCGGTTTACACAATAGGTTCAACCGTTAACCGAATTGGAAATTCGGTTCAACTATTGTTCTGAACCAAAAACTAAAAAAACCGCTTTTTGGTTTGGTTTTTTGGTTCGGTTCAGTTGCCGAATTTTTTTTTCCATCCCTAATTGGATTCCTATAAGCCTAAAACTGAAAACATAGACTTATATTGTGAGTTCTTTAATGAACTCATTTCTATTATTTTAAAATATGATTGAAAAATATGAAAAATAAAAGCGCGGAAATTAATATTTGAAAATGTGAAAAATAAACGCATGAAACTTCGTGTCAAAAAATAATATTTATAATTTAAAAACACGTATTTGAACATTCAAGACATAATCAAAATGGAGCTTAAGTTCTTATATATATATGGGACAAAGTTGATTACTATTTAGAACCAGAATATATGGACCATATGGTTTAAGCGTTAACGACCCAAAAAATGGCCCATTGAAAAATTCATACCCACCCACTTTTTAATTACCTTTTTAGTATCAAAAGCATAATTTTGTTAATAATTTTCGTTGTAAGGAAAGAAAAAATGGTCAAAAGTCTATTATTAATGAAGGTAAACTGGTCAACAAACATTGGTAGTTGGAGAAAAAGAAAAGAAAAAGGGACGAAGCACGTTAGTAGTGTTTACAGCTGGCGATTTTTGCCCCTTTTTGGCTGATCTCGACGTTCAAAATCCCTTCTGAGACCACCCACAAAATCTCCATCACCTCCTCTACAAAGCTCAAGCCTCCATTTGTCGTCATCACTCACCATTTCCCACCACCACCTCCATTCGCACAACCAACTCTTCAATCCTAATTTTCGATCAATTTCTTTGCCATAAACTCCCCCAGACACCACCATCACACTCCTCACAACCCACTCTATAGAACCCTTACCTCCATCATTGTCCCTTGCTCATTGATCGTTGGCCATGCACCACACGACCTTTCAACTTCCAAGTCTATTTCTGGTCGTTTCTGGTGTCGGAAATCATCCCTGTCACCATCAATCGACTCCCTGGATCTTCCTCTCCAAAAGACCCAATATTCCCAATCCCGATCCCGTTTTCTCACCAATCACTAGCGATTGAAGCTTCCCCACCCTAGTGTTTTTTGAGTTTTAATTGGATTAATTGGGTTTGATTCGTTCAATTTTTGTGTTTGTTGGGTTAAAATACAATTGAGGAATGTTTGTTTGTAGTATTTTCTGGTTGCCTGCACTCCCCGATGCTTGCGACAATTGCCGGCAATGGAAAAGGCTAAGAAAAGGGGTTTTTTTTTCTTCGTAAATCACTATATTTTTCACCCAAATCAAAGGGAAACATATTATTTGGATAGTAAAAAAGTATTTTAAAAGTTTAAGGGTGAGAATCAATGGAACATTTTTTGGATGGGAACATGTAGTTAACTCTATGGTTTAATGGAGTAAAAAGTTTTGCAATATGATATATAAAATCATAAGCAATATAATTATAAGTTTTTAGTTGTTTTAAAAATGATTTTTTTTTTTTTTAATTTAAGCTTTTTTTTAAGTGAAAACCCAATTGGAGAAAAAAGTTAAGACTACATGTTAATTTTTTTTATTATTATTTTCCATTAGAATTGCCTGTTAAACTTCAACAAAATGTTAAGAATTCCTTTGTTTTTTTGTTTTTTATTTTTTTATTTCTTCTTATTGCTTCTCAAATTCTTAATTTTTCAAATTTAATTCTTTCAAATTATTGTAGTGATTCTAATCTCAATATTTGTTTGTGTTGTTTAGTTGTATTACAATTACATTCATAGGTTAATTATATGGATATTTTTTTTTTTTTTTTTTTAACTTTTAACTTGAATACAAAAAGTATATGTAGGATTGAAGGCGAGGGCATTGTATTAAGTAACACAATGAAATGTTTCTCTTTAATTTAAAAAAAAAAAAAATTGACAACGAATTCATATCCTCTAACTCTCCAAGCCCAAAGCCCAGAAACACAGGTCATTATAGAAGTGTTAAGGGCAAAAGTGTCATTAAGAAAAATACAGGGCTATAAATTTCACCTCGCCTCCTCCCACTCAGTCACTAGGGTTTCTGCATCTAGGGTTTTTCCTCTTTGCCTTCTAAATTATCATTATTATTTGTGAAAGCGCAACCTTAAGATCGCCTCCAAAATCAAATGGAAGCGTTTTGAGTCATTGCTGCGCAACATTAACCCTTTTTTTGGGGTTTCTCTTTTGGGTTTTCCGACTGAGTTCCCCTCTTATCCCTCCTTTTTTTAACTCTGATGAGACATGCGATCATTTCTGGCTTTGTAATCTTTCCCATTCTTTGAGCTTCAAAGATTTAATTCTCTCTTTGCTTGTCTCACTAATTGGTTGATTCAGGTCAGTTAGGTACTTTGAATGTCTCATCTACAGTGAGGGAGACATAAAACCTTCCATTTTCTCATTTTTATTATGCGTTTATAAAGATATTTGGTGGTTGTTGTTATTACAGGCAAAATGATGAATCATTGATGTGTGAAGGGAATTATTCTTTGTGAACTCGACTATTTAGCATATATTGTCTGACTTGCCATTAATTACTTAAAATTATATTTCAAAGTGTTGATTTGAAGCTTTTAATTAATTGGTGTTGAATTTAGTAATTGGTCTGTGATGCCAAAGTAAGCTTGTTTCTCAAAACATTCGCAGTGGCCGCCTGAGAGCTTCTCGCCTTCGCCAGGCTTGAGAGCTTCTGCTGCTTATTTCCTCCTTGGATGTCTGAACCACCATTCAATTTTACTTTATTTTCACTATTTCATTAATTGTAAACATTATAGAATTAATTTCCTTATCATCAAACAATTGACTGAATTACTGCTTAATGATGATACATTCAAACTGTTTTAAGACTTTAAATTGCGTAATATCACACCAAAATTGTGAAGTTTTATCAACTCTTTGTAAATGACTTGGGGAAAACTTTAGAAATACTGAAGAAGCCACACTATCCCTAGTAAATCTTGTTCAGGACAATTTGGTTAATGAAAAGCTAAAGAAATGTAGGAGAACAACATTTCACAAGATTTTTATCATTATGGGTGCCAGTTTTAATTGCAATTGACTGCGAGTCTGGGGCTTTTCAATCCAATTCTTACACTTCTCAATGACAAACTGCTGCCTCATCACTCCGATTTTCCACTCCATGTCCGGGGATGTTCCATTGGGTATACATAATCGATAAGTTTAGTCTTACCCGACTGACCATTGTAAGCCTAGTCTTACCCCTTAAATTAAATTTGAATAAATGTCTAAATTACTTTATGCAATCCCAGAATTATAAGCCATATATACATACACATCAAAAGTGAATTTTTAAAAACGACAGCCAGAGCCTCAAAAATAGTTCTTGTTCTCCAAAATAATAAATACACTGATGATTCAGCTATCCTATTTGAGGCACAACTCAACAGCCGAAAACACAGAACTGAAGATTCCTCCGAAAATGCTCTCATTTTTTAACAAAAAATAAAAATTGCCAAGTCTACGTAATCATGAGGAATTTCCCCTTGTGTTATTCCATCACAATCATTCTACCCAACATTCTAAAAGAAATTGACAATTCACAAATTAGCAATACTTCAGAGCAGCTTCAATTGTTGGTTAACACATATACTTGAACAAAGAACAGCCTAACAATACAAATAAAATACCATCTAACGGCAACAACCTCATTATCATTGCTTTCTTGCAAGAACTTTCACTTTAAACAGTTCACCTCTCTACTAATTAATGTATTGACTATTCAACATTACTTTCACTGCTTTGATATTTCACAAAACTCAAGAGAGCAACAGCACTTCGTCAGTAAAGAATGATCCAGGTCCACATGTCAACACTTTGTATTCTATTCTACAACCACCTGTTTTCATCCAACATTCTAAAACAGCACAGTGAGCAGACAAGCAAAAATGAATACAATATGTGGCCCAATTGAATTTAAAAGGCTATCTGGTGAGCATATTTCCAACTTCAACATCTTAAAGTGCTGGTGTTACACAAAATGAATAATTTTATCCACAAGTGTCCAGTTAGCGATTAGTTGACATGAGGAAATGAGGGAAATAGTTCCGCAACAACACCACCTCCGAAAAATAGTTGTTATTATCGATTTTTACACAGAAATCTCATGTTTTCATGGTTTCTTTAGATGATACGGGTTCTGCAAATTTAATTTATTAAACAAACTTGAGCCAATTCCACCTATACCAGTAGAGATAAGGAAAACAAGCTGGGATAAGTTTAAAATCAAGTCTACGGGTCTCAACTCTCAAAAAAAGCTAAACTGAACATTGAGATAATTGATTGAGCTTCTTTATATGAACTGTTCACACAATGGCCTCGGCATATATTTTACCAACACAAACAACAACAAGAAAACTTCGAAAGATGAGCGCCGCTGCTTAATTTCATTGATAATTCAATATCTTCCCAATTGACTTCAAATAACCTTGATTTTTTTACTCGCCAAAACTAATACGAGTGAATTCGATCTCAACCCTAACAAACCTTAAGACATAGTCTTACGAGCTCAGTTTACTAGAAATCCCTCAACCTTTCCCTACATGTTCACCAAATCCTAACCTTAAAGCGAAGCTAAGAAAACAGATTATTTCCTAGTTCCTCATTTTCCCTATCATAAAAAGATTCATCCATGTGCTACGAAATTAATTTTGAACAAACGATGAGAAATAAAAATCTAAAGACACCACAGTTATTCCATTGGTACAAAATCAAAATCAAGAAATTGAACAAACTGAATCCCCGCACCCCTTCTATCAATACCCAAAATTGATACATAATAAAAACAGCACAGCACTAAGTTTAATTTATTGGATACATTTTGGTTTCATCAATCAAGAAAACCTGTTTGACGAAACACAGCATTTCTCACCTGCCGCGATCTCTCCCTTTCAAAGCCTCCCAACTCCTTCCAATACCGAAAAGTCGTCTTTGGCGACATCCCGGAGCCCCTCGCTACAATCTCATGAGGGCAACATCTCATCGCCTCCATCCTCCTCATCTAACTCGAAAAACCTACTTCCTCTGCTTCGCCATCGCAATTGACAAACCGCACATTTCGCGCCGAGTGCTGGTACTTTCTCATCGGCGTCGATTGCGACCTCTCCATCTGCGGCGGTTTCGGCAGCGTCGGAATCATTTTCGCAGACTCGACGACGATATCGATGATTTTCGGTAGAGCACACGGACGTTATCGTGCTCCGGTAAAGCCGCAAGAATTCCGGAACCTTGCGCGAAGGATGGGAAACGGTTGTGATTGTTGACGGGGAGAAGGCTGTTGTCGGTGTGACGGTGGTGCTGCTGTTGGTGAAAGCATTAGATTCGGTGGATTCTTCGTTGGTAGAAAATATCGTCTTCATTGAGCTCGTCATCGGCGGCTTCGGAGGCAGTGGAGGTCGAGGAGGAGATGCCAAGGAATCGGTCGGAGGAGGGGATTGGCGGTGGCGGAAAGTGGGGCCCTCCGTTAGTGGTTCCACCGAAACAAAATATTGTGATTTTCGTGAAAATATAAATAGAGAACGAGAGAGAGAGAGGAGAGAGAGAGAGAGTGAGGAGGCTTGGCGAGAGTCGCAGCAAGTACAGAGAAGTGGGGGTGGAGTGGAGGAATCAGGAGGTGGAATGGAAAAACTAAATAAAAATAAACAAAACAAACAAAAAATGGTGGGGTGGAGCCCTTGGTCAGTTTCGGGGTGACGTGGCCGATGTTTTTTCTCCTTGTTTTTTTCGTTGTGGGGTCCAGGTGAGGAGTAGAGGTCGCAAAAAAAATTTTCATGACTTATTCATCTGGAGGGATCTATAATAGTTTGCGGTTTTGGTACATTCTCTCTGCTTTCGGTTGTTCAATCAGGTGTTGCCACGTCATTGGTTCCCAGGTTTTTAACCGACGCCGTTTTCTGATAATGTGAATTCCTTAAGTCAAGGTTTTGGACCATTATGGCATGACGAATTTGATAAGGACATCCACTATATTTTAGTAATTAATTCTTAATTATTAATCTTAATCTGCAACTTTGAAAATGGGAGAAATTATAATAAAAATATTAATTATTAATCAATAACACTAGGGACACCGAAAAATTACACCGAAATTCTATACCGGCCTACATGTAACGCGCATCGGAATTTTTTTATAGTGAACGGCCTGTCCATCAAATTTGAACGGCCGTTCACTCACATGGACGCCCGTCCATATTATATGGACGGTTGTCCATATACAAGGGACGGACGTCCCCATTTAAAGGACACCCGTCCATAATAAAATACAATAAAAATTTATAAAACATTATGGACGGCCGCCCTTAATTTTCGGGCGTCCACAAATACGGGACGTCCGTCCAACTTAATTTGTTTTAAAAGTAAAATAAAAAATTTGGACGCCCGTCCATAAATTATGGACGGGCGTCCCTTAATTTGGACGGGCGTCCTTCCAATGGACGCCCGTCCATACTTTTAATAATAATAAAAAAAATTTAACAAAAACTCGTTTTCTGTTGCAAAACTCTTCGTCTTCATTCCCCACTCCTCTCTTTTTCCTTGTTTTAAACTGATTTATGCAGTGGCATCTTTTGGCTTAACAAACCTCTCTCTTATTCCTCCTACTTCTGCTTCGACTTCCTATCCCTTTCAAAGGTCCACACAAGAAAGGGTTTTTCTGTGGCGCTTTGAAGGCTAGGTTTGGTTTCTTCCAAGGGTGTCTGAGCGACCCGCTTTTGATCAGTCTCAGTTTGACCCTTTACACAAGTGTTAAAGATATTTTTTCATCTGAATTCGCTTCTCTATCTCAATAAATGCAATAAGGTGTTTTTTATTTATTACTTACGAATAATTTAGAGACTATAGAGGTTTTAATGTGTCCAGTTGCAGTAACTTGTCTATTAGCATAATCATTGGTGGGAACGCTGATGGCAATTAGACAGATTTTGGTTGACACCATGGATTCTCATTTATCAAAAGTTCAAGTTTTATATTTTGGGAACATATGGGTTTTGTCAACAATTCATCAAATGTCACTGGAGGTTAGGTTTTAACTGATTAAGGATTGTTTTCAAAGCTGATCTTATAAACCCTAAGGTTCATGAGAAGATTGAACTGATATGAGGTAAACTCGGAAGTTTTGGGAGAAAACCAACACAATTTTGACTTGGTGTCTACTGGTGCATGTATATCTAGATAGAGAGAGAAATGGACTGCACCACTGGCTATGAAGATGAAGAAAAAGAGAGACACCACAGTCATTATTTGAGGCAGTGAAATGGACTGCACAATTGGCAATGAAGACGAAGAAAAAGAGAGGAGATGGGGATGAAGACGAAGATGTTTTGCAACAGAAAACAAGTTTTTGTTAATTTTTTTTTTTTTATTAAAAGTATGGACGGGCGTCCATTGCAATGGACGCCCGTCCAAATTAAGGGACGCCCGTCCATAATTTATCGATGGGCGTCTAAATTTTTTATTTTATTTTTTAAAACAAATTAAGTTTGGACGGACGTCCCGTATTTGTGGACGTCCGTCCAAAATTAAGAGACGGCCGTCCACAACCTATGAACGGCCGTCCATAATGTTTTACAAATTTTTTTATTGTATTTTATTTAAGGACGAGCGTCCTTTAAATGGGGACGCCCGTCCCTTGTATATAGACGCCCGTCCATATAATATGGACGGGCGTCCATGTGAGTGAACAGCCGTCCAAATTTGATGGACGGCTGTTCACTATAAAAAAATTATGAAAAAATTCAGACGCACGTTACACGTAGGCCAATACAAAATTTCGGTGTAATTTTTTCGGTGTCCGTAGTGTTATTGATTATTAATTATATTGTATAAACTTCTGTCTAAGGCTCTGGGGTTTTTTTTTAAAACACTGGCTGTCATCCTTTATTTAATAGTAATTTGAGATTTGAGATAGAATTGAAAAGCTAGCTAGATACCAGAAAAAGCAACTTGGAATTGTGGTGGTTGCATAAAATTAAGCACGATTTATTGTAATTGTAGTGTATAATTTAATTTTTTTTTAATTTGTCTTAATCATTAAATTACAAATAAATGGAGACTGGTTAGCGTAAAGCAAAGTCAAAAACTCAAAAGTCTTTAACATATTAATATTTTCTATGATTCCAAGCATAAAACAAGGAAACTGATGCTTTTCCATGGCGCTTAATAGTCTAATTCCATTATAAATTTACCTAAACATCGTGTTTAAGACTAATTTTTTCAAAAATAGTCCTGACTCCCACACAACTAAGGCTAGGCTCCGAATCCTTTTTTTTTTTTTTTGCCTCCAAAGTCCAAACTTCAAAACATGATTTTTTAAAGGCTTGCTTTTTGGAAATATAAATATAACGTTTCAATATATTTTTAGAAGTAGTTTAAACATCCAAAACAGATTCACAGATGATAATACTATACGAATATTCAAAATTCCCACACCAAGATATCACAGAGAATTTGACACTGCATTAGTTGTTCCAGAGGCATATTCGTTCATTAGATTATACTCCAGAAAATTTTAACATTACAGAAAACCAATCGTCAAATTCTCAATCATACACGTTTTGGAGGAACATATTGGATACGCTCATCTTCACATAAGTTCTGCAAGAAGTCCAAGAACAGCCAAATGAGAAAAGTAAATTAATTCAAACCAACTGAAGAGACGATGAAATGTTGCAAGTAAGCATATCAAACAGAGAAATAGAGCAGTTTTCAGTTCCTTATTTGGCTTCAATATGCATAACACAACAATAATTAGCAAATGATCAAAGCAGTACTATAACAAAAACAGATCTGCATCAAGGGGTTTTTTTGCTATTCTCTTTCTCCACTGAGTATTTTGGTTCTTCTCCTTCTTTCTCTTTCTCTTCCTATTCCCATCTACATTCCTAGGACTAGTCAATGATTAAGAGTTTACATTTATCTCATTACCATCTACATTCTTAGGACTATTCATTGACTGAGAGTTCACGGTCTACTTGTCAATCATAGGCCCCTAAGTCTGCAATATTGTCCTATAGGAGATCTAACATCCCTCACACTGACGTTCTCTGGAGCTAAGCAATATCATAGAATGCCAATATCCTTGGCTGGATATTGAAAACTATTCCAAGAAATAATTTGTTTAATCTTGGTTTACCTCAATCCTTCAATTCATAACAGGCTGGTCAGCTTAACAAATGCCATCCTAGAAGGCATCATCAATATATTTCTTTTGCGGGTAAGGTTAGCTCCAAACAACATCTCAAGCCCAAAATGCGTCACAGATTATAGGCCATGAATGAATGATTTGACAATGCGGTTAGCATGCACAACCTCAATGATATTATTACCACTGCCCACCTCATTGAAGATCAAATAACAGTGCATATTATTGCATTCAACCAAATAAAATTCCTATCTTGCACATAATATGAAAATTCAAACCTGCAAGTCCTCTGGGAGTGCCTCTGAGACAGCAAGAGTGTAGCAACCAGGGACAAATCTTCCTGCAAAATATTGAAGGAATATGACAAACTGAGTACCAAAAATTACTACCCAATGATATCAAAAGCAATGCAAAACTTCATATACATGAACAAAAAAGCTAGATTTCTTATTAACCAAGAAACCTAGATTTCAAAACCAGACTAGTTTCTTCTATAAAACCTACAATCCATCTAATTTCCCACCTCACATAAGCAATATCCATAATAAGTTCTTTTTCAAGTCAAGTTTCAGTCTTCAACTTCAAAATCATACATATATTCATTACTTCTAATGCAAAATATTATCATCCAACTTTGAATCAGAACGATTAATGGGATGTTTCTAGCATGAATAAACATTCTTCATGGGAATTCAAAATGCTTTTGTAAAATTAATCACTCCACAATTGATATGTCCAAAATTAAAGTTTAAACATCCATCAACATGGTAGAGCATACCAATTCGCAACCAGCGAGCAGCCCAACTTCTAGTAGGATCCATGACTGATATTATCCTGTAAAAAGCAATGTAAACATCAAGCAAATGTAACATAGAGATGCTTTATATAGTTTAATTATATTGATCTGAACCAAAAATCAAGTTAAACATATAAGGAAATAAAGCAGCAAACAAAACAAAGCATACCCATTAAAATTAGGAGTAGTACAATCAACAACACGCTCGTGATCTTCATCCATCTTAAAGAACGGGCAGTTCTCACATCCCGATTCTCTAAACTGTAAGAGTCATCTCAATTAATCAAACCCTAACATAACTTAAAACCCATCAATATCAAACAAAATGAATGATACCTGATCGTAAGTTTTGACAAGGCGGCAACGCAAGCAAGCTCTAAGCTCGTGGCCGAAACTTGTTGGTATTTGTGCTGGTGCGCTTCCCATTGTTTCCACAAGCCTAAACTACTGGAGACTAAAGGCTTCTTTCCAGTTATTTCAAGATCTATAAATGGACCCAATTCACATAAATGTTAAGAAAGATTTTATTATATAAAAATTGTTTTTAAACAACTATTTCTTCACAGAAGAAAAAAGGTATTATCAATTTTAGGGTCACTTTTTTCCAGAAGTTTATGAAAAATACCCAAGTTTAAAACTCAATGAAAATGTCCACTAACCAAATCATAGTTATCTCTAACTACTTGGGGTTTTTTCATTAAGTTTATTTTTTTGAAAAAGCCGAACCTAAATTGATAATACCTAGAAAAAAATGTCTTCATAGAAGAACATTTATTTTTCCAATACACCCTCACCATTTATATGTCTCTTTTCTTTTCCTTCCATCTAATTAGATATTTGGAACATATACATATGTTGCTGTGTGACCCAATATAAATTCTGAATTATTTACTAAATATGATCTGAACAAACTAGTATCTAACACATATATCAAAAATCTTGTACTAAAACATCCATAAGCTTACACATTCCAATTTCCAATCATACTGATTAAGAAATCAATAGTCAGAAAGTTATATAAAAACATGAAAAACATTCGTGACATCATGTTAAATAATATATGGCAATATTTAATGTAAAGATTAAGAAAACACATTCTGGGAGCTAATTATGCTTGAAACCTATTATCATTTTCATACTGAAAATATAAACTTAAAAATAAATAAATACTTTCAAAAATTTCTCAAGTCATGAATTTTTTTTTTTTTTTTGAAAAAAAGAAGAAACTTAAAAGAAAAAGTAATATAATAATTGTTTCAGATATTAATATAGACTTATTGAGTTTAATAAATTTTGAGATGAAAATCTAAAAAGAGGAAGAACCTGTTGAAGCTTGACGGCTGCGCTAGACATAAACCGGAGTTCACTCTGTGTTCTCAGGCGACGACGCAGACGACAGCTTCCTTGTTTTCTCGGACACGGCTTCACGGAGCGGATTCCTTAGTTTCTCGGTCGATGGCTGTCGCCGTGATCGGCTGATGTCGATTTTTGAGAGAAAGAAGAGCTAGGGATTTGGAGATGAAGGAGAACAGGAGTTTTAGAATGTAAAAGATTTAAAATAAAATAAAATAAATGTATATAATATTATTATAAGAAAAATTCTTATTAATAGTAATTTATTGCGGGTAATTAGATAAATATCGGTGGATAATGGATATCTACGAAAACACCAGGTATTATATGCAGTGTTTTAAAACCCGGCCTCACCCATTCGGTTGAATCAGTTTAGCCAGGATCTCGGGTTACAAATTTTTCTATTTATTGAAAACCTTAAAAATTAGGACATTAATCCATGAATAATTAAAAGCTGTGATATTAGGGCTTTTTAAGAATGGCTGGTGAGTGCACTGGTGACAACAATGTCAATTTCTGGTGAGTGAATCAACTAGAAATCGTAAAACAATGTTGTCGGAAAAAGCGAACCGTCGTCAGTGATTGGGGAGGCGAATGGGGAGAGGTGATATGTGTTTTGTTCAAGAGGCTGAGATGAGTGTTTTCGTGGTGATGGGAAGTGTTGTCAATTGCCATCGCTGGAAACAGGCCCTCTTTGCCGACGCCAACAATGGTGTTTGAGGTGTTTTTTTCAAGATTTCAAACCTATAAGGACTTACAAAGTTTTCAAAGGTATTTTTGTTAGATTTCAAATCTTTGCATACTGGTTTGACCCGCTGATCAGACCGGTTAAACTGGTCAACCTGGGATCTGATCACTTTGCCAGGTTTCATCCTGAGTTAGGTTTTAAAGTATTGATTATATGGATGTATTTATTTTCCTTAATGTATGTAATATAAATTTTCCATATTATATTTAAATCAATTTAAAAGTTTTAGTAATTCAAATGTATTATTCTTTTTAATGTAGATATTAGAAAAAAAAAAATTAAAGAAGGTGATTTATCTTAGGTTAATATTTTATAAATGTTATTAATATATTTTCTATATTAAAACATACATTAATGGTTATGTTGAAGGATCAGATACGACTCTCATTGCGACTTAACTTGAAGGACCTCTTAATACACTAATTTTAATTTGGTTAAAGGTGTCGATTAATCATGGATAATTTCATTTCTTAAAATATAAAAAAAAAATCTACATTAATGTAAGAGTCAAAGACTCAAAGTTAAACATTAGATAGGCAAAAAATCGTCTTGGGCCTGACGAGACCTAATAACGAAATAAACATGTCACGCTCCAAGTCCTTAACTCAATTTCGGTTGGACTTACGCTTAAATTCACCTTATGAACTGTCCACTCTAAGAGTTGAGCTACCCTATAAATTAAGCTAAACTGGGTTCAAACCCATTAGCCTACAATAGTCCATAAATAGGAAATTAGAATCCCAATTTATTTCTTCTTTTGATAAGATCCCGAATCTTACTCAAACTAGTAAACCTAATCTGATAAGGACAAGAAATCATTTTTCTCTCTTGATAGGGATTATCTCCCAAAGTAGGACTCAATGTCCTACTAGGATTCCAACCCTTTGGGGTCACTATATAAATAGAGGTATGCCCTCTCATAATTCATGGAATCTCCACTAATCAATACCACCTACTTGTGTCCAAAGTTCTTACTCCTAAGAACCACCGTCACCTTCGCCGTAGTCCTAGTCTTCAACAAGACTCTCGATAATCCTCATTTCCCTTAACTCTTATTAAATCGCCTCTTTCAGTCTTGCTAACTTGAGCGTCGGAGTGCCTATAGAAAACACCAACTTTGTGTTTTTTGTAAGCTTCACGCTTGTCTCTTTGTGTGAGTAGGTCCAGTGAATTGTCAGTGGCCTTAACCTTACGAAATCAGACCCTATTTCTGTAACTGTAGATTTTTTGCATCTACAGTTTGGCGCCCACCTTGGGGCCCTAACAATCATCCGTCTACAAACGACTTGCATCACGAGAAGAGGCACAAAGCCCCATTCAACCAACATTGTTGATCAGATCACCACTCTTCCAATCATCCAAGCCAAGTCTCCGGTCATCCCATATAGTCGACTTGACTTTACCAGCCTCGTCAAGCGACACTCACCCTTTAGCCATCAGTATGGGTCATGAGTGGAACATGTCGATCTCCATACCATCACTCGACTAGAACGAATCCAAAGCTTGAAGAGTCAATACATAAAGCCACCAACGCTCCATGACAATTACATGTGCCACCGCCCAAGGGCATTCATCCAATTGGATAAGTTAAGTGCTAGCTACCACTTAACCACTTCCACTCAAGATGCTCCATTCACTAAGGAGGTTAAACCAGTGAGCTAATTAGTGTAAATTGATTTAAGTACCTAAGATGAAGGGTCCCACCTTAGCCTCTTTCAACTCAATAATAATCCTCCAATTTCTTTACCAATCTGCTTCTCTAACACGTGTCAAACTCTACATAACAACAAACCAATTTAGTCCACCTTAGCTCACTCAGTCTGGTGCGTATCACCTCACCGCGCCATTACTTCTCATAACGTAAACAACAACAAGTTCAAGTTCAGGTTTTGAAAATCAAGCCAAACTGGAGACCAAGTACCTCAAGTTCACTCGACCAACATTGCAGACCAAATCGCCACCTCACCGACAGCACTTGACTCACGGCTTTGGTCTCAATCAATCTAGTGCAATCTCTATGACACCCCAGCATGGAGAACATTCAAACCATCCATCTCCTTCAGTTGTCATAGCAAGTGGATCAACTTTAGCAACAATCGATTCCTCACATCGATGAACGTTAGTCAAATGGGCATTTTCTCACTTTCACTTAGCCTCAATCGTTGGTTCAATCTACCCCGCTCCTATTACTCATGCAACGCCGTCGTCCAACTCAATTCTTCAAATAACAATGCTCTCATCAATAACACCCTTTGCTTGATCGAATTACGCTGACTGAATAAGTGTCAATCACATCACCCAAGTATCCATTCTGCTCAACCTTCAGTGTCGGTCAATCCTACCAAACTTGCCCAAACTCCACTAGACCACCCGTAATCGATTTTTTTGGCTCTTCTCAGTCGTCCCACTACCATATAAACACTACCACTGGTTCAGCTTGATTGCTCCCAAATTCAAAACTTGAGGACTTCACTTGGCTTATTACGTTTCACCCATGTCTCACACGATCCAGCTAGAAAACCATTTCGGTTTTCTTTCGGCGCAGCAAGTTAACTACTTTGAGCTTATGTTTAGCTACTTTCTCTCAAACCACTCTGCTTTGTGAGACCACAGTCAACTGAACTGTATTCCTCAAACTCCAACAAATTTCACCCAATTTCGTCTAATCATCAGAAGTTAAAGAGGTCCAAGAAACGAGGGAAAACAATATTTAAAGGAAAAATAGCCTTTACTATTCTTTGTTTTTCTTTACTGTTTTCTTTGAAAGTTGCCAACGAAAAAAGGAAGGAAGAACGTTCCTACTCCAAAGAATCAATTTGAAACAAAAAATGGGTCTCCAAGGATTTTCTCCTCTTAACTACACCTCATCATGAGGCACGTGTCTACACTCAAAGAATCTGAAGGTTGTTTGTATTTCCTACCCTTGGAAACTTGAAATCCATGGTCACAGTCCACAATTTGAACGTTAAAGCTGCTTAAAGAAGGGACAGTCACTCAAATTTGCCCCAACTCTGGTAAAGAATCTCTTTCAAAAGCCTCAACACTCCCCACCTTCTTCAATTCATTCACCCAGAAGTCCACTGACTACAAAGCCTTCACACGTAAGGCCTCACTTGACTAGTCATAGCCCGTAGGAGCCGAATGGAAATCTGCATATGTCAATCATTCTTCTCCGAAGCCCAACCCACCCACACCACCTTAGGCAAGTCTCAAAAGTCACACCTTCATCGTTCAAATCTTCACCTCCACTTCACCTAATCGTTAGGCGAACAAGAACTAAGAAACAGTTGACACCTAGAAAATGGATTGCAAGCCTTCAACCTCCATTCGGCTTGTCTCCTAGCGAGATTGACCACTTCTAGTTCCCTATTGTCACATCTTCAACAATAGCTATCGTTGCAACCTCACCTTGTTTGGAACTCTTAATCTAGACTAGGACTAAGCTCCACCTCTATTGGAACATCTCTATTTAGCCATGAGTTCGTTTGGCTTTACTCTCCTTTTTTGCTTGTTCTTTCTTTATTCAATTTATTACTTAAAACACATGCACCCATGCATTTTATTTTCCATTTACTTATTCTTCATTAGTCATTATTACACATGCAGCCATTACTTCTCTATTCAATTTGTTATTAACACATGCCCATGCATAACACCATGTGATCCTTAATTTTCTCTCTATTTGGCCTCTTCTACTCCATTCAGTTTGTTCCAGATGAGTGCACACGAAGATTACTAGAGCTAGATGATGATGATCACTCAATGAGATTGTATCTACTCTTTGAGGAAAGAAATGTTCTCTATTTACCTTCTAAATACACTTTCATCCAGCATTACAGGACAGCAGATGTGATAGTTGCTCCATAACCCCACTTCTAATAAACAACTTCACCAAAGAACCAAGTGCTACTCTATAGTTTGGCTTTGGAGAGAAAATCACTTCACTAAGGATTCAAATGTTGTTTCTCCACACTCAGAACCACCATAACAAAGTGCCATTCTCACAACCTTTATGTCAATTACAACAACTTCTATGGCTCCTCGTGCTCCTGTTTTTGAGTTGGAGTATCGACAGTTACACCCCACCATATGGCTTACATGATTAACCAAGTAAAGGAAACTATGAGCAGCACACAGTCAACAACTTCAAAGATTCGACTAGATGAAATGCAAAACGAGACGGATGGTATCAACTCGCATATGTTTCATTCGTGACACACTCTTTAAGAGATTTACCCGAGCGAATAGGTCCTTTATTGATTCTACTTTACAACTGTTTGCTTAAAGAAATCCATATATCTCTTGGCCCACGACATACTTACTCCAACAGACAGAAAAGTATTGAGTTCCCTCGGCTAGAATTCTCCACAAGACTTATCCACCTCCCTATGAGCCCCCCATTTGGCTCAATCACCTTCAGTGACCATTAACGTCTCAGACACATCTGCAACTTCAAAAACAAGCTTCATT